AGGCTGGCACCTGGCTTATTTTATTTTTTTGTGGTGCTGAGGATTAAAGCCAGGGCCTCCTATATAGTAGACAAGCACACTTTACTGAGTTATACTCCTATCTAAACCAACTTTCTCTTTTGGTATTTAGAAAGTTTTCATGATGGGCTGGGGAGGTGCTCAGTGGTAGAACGCTTGCTTTGCATATATGAGGCCCTGGGTTCCATTCCTCAGCACCACATAAGCAGAAAAAGTCAGAAGTGGCTCTGTGGCTCCAGTGGTAGAGCACGAGCCTTGAGCAGAAGAGCTGAGGGACAGTGTCCAGGCCCAGAGTTCAGGCCCCACAACCAAAAAAAAAAAAAAGGAAGTTTTCATGAGGAAACAATGAGAAACATTTCCTGCTCCTCAAACAGAAAGTGGGAGTAAAGATTTAAATATGGTAGCTCTTGTCTGTGTCCTTTATGTTTTAAGAGCTGGAACAATACACCCTAATCTTTTAGACAGTGGTTTGGGAAAGATGGGTGGAGGTGTTATTGAGACTCACCTGGAAAAGTAGAACAATAACACTTCTTTTTATAAATTTAATTTTATTGTAAAGGTGATGTACAGAAGTGTTACAGTTACATACATAAGGTAACATTTCTTGTCCAAAATTGTTACCCCTTCCCTCATTTTTCTTCCATCTTCTCTTCCCCCCACCTCCTCCCCACTCACCCGCCAAGTTGTAAATTTATTTCCAATGTGTTTTGTGAGTATCGCTGTTGCATTGGTTCACCCTTTGTCCTTTGTCTCACCATTTCAATTCTTTTTGCCAGACAGTTATCTTCCCAATTCCCCATCTGTTTACCCTTTTAATGAGAAGGCAGAGTCAGAGAGCCCAATTTTTTGTCTTCTATTCTATTCAAAAACCAGAAGTGGTGCTATGGCTCAAGTGGTAGAGCTCCAGCCTTGAGCACAAAGAGGCTCAGGGGGCAGCACCCAGGCCCTGAGTTCAAGCTTCACAACTGACAAAAAGTAAAAATAAAATTAAAAAAAGTATTTTTAAAAATCAGGGACAACACCCAGGCCTTGACTTCAATCCCAGGACCTGTACATGCAAAAAAAGAATAACTTAATGTATTCTGTCGGTCGTGGGGCTTGAACTCTGGGCCTGAGCACTGTCCCTCAGCTCTTCAGCTCAAGGCTAGCGCTCTACCACTTGAGCCACAGTGCCACTGAATAACTTAATGTATTCTGATCTGACTGTTGCAACCTATAAACCAAATCTCCTGACAACTGAATTTGCCCTATGTCGCTTCCTAAAGAAAATAGAAAAATGAGTCGGGCACCAGGGGCTCACACCCGTAATCCTAGCTACTCAGGAGGCAGAGATCTGAGGATCGCAGTTCAAAGCCAGCCTGGGCAGGAAAGTCTGTGAGACTCTTATCTCCAATAAACCACTAGAAACCCAGAAGTGGTGCTGTGGCTCAAGCAATAGAGGGCTCACCTTGAGCTGAAGAGCGCAGGGACAGCACCCAGGCCCAGAGTTCAAGCCACACAACCAAAAAAAATAAAATAAAATAAAATAGAAAAATGACTGTTTAGTTCCCTTTCTAGGTTGGTTCAACAATCTATCTTCAGCTCAGAAGCCGCTACAGAACACAGACTATCAAACCCTGGGCTCCAGTGGCTCACACTGAAATCCTAGCTACTCAGGAGGCTGAGATCTGAGGATTGAAGTTCAAAGCCAGCCTGGGCAGGATACTCTGTGAGACTCTTTTTTTTTTTTTCTTTGGGTCCAGTTGTGGGGTCTGAACTCTGGGCCTGGGTGCTGTCCCTCAGCTCTTCAGCTCAAGGCCAGCGCTCTACCACTTGAGCCACAGCACCACTTCCGGCTTTTTTCTTTTTGCTTATGTGGTGCTGAGGAATCAAACCCAGGGCCTCATGCATGCAAGGCAAGTGCTTTACCACTGAGCCACCTTCCCAGCCCCAGAAAAAAAAAATCTTTATCCATGAACTAGAATGGAGTTTTGTTTTGTTTTGTTTGCTTGTTTTTCTTTGTGCTTTTCAGACATTGGAGCTTGAACTCAGGGCCTAGGCATTGTTCCTGAGATTTTTTTTTTCCAGTTCTGGGGCTTGAACTCAGGGTCTGGGCCCTGTCCCTGAGCTTCTTTTGCTCAAGGCTAGCATTCTACCACTTGAGCCACAGCACCACTTCTGGTTTTTTCTCTGTATGTGGTGCTGAGGAATTGAATCAGCGCTTCATGCATGCTATGAAGCACTCTACCACTAAACCACATTCCCAGCCCAAGATTTTTTTTGTGTGTGCAAGGCTAGTGCTCTACCACTTGAACCACAACTCTATTTCCTGCTTTTTGGTCATTAATTAAAGCTAAGAGTCTCACCAACTTTCCTGCCCTGGTTGACTTCAAATCTTGATCATCAGGTCTTAGTCTCTTGAGTAGCTAGGATCATACGTGTAAACCACCAGTGCCCCTCTAGAATATAGTTTTAAGAAAATATTTTGAATAAATTTGGATATTTAACACATTAAAAAGTTGAAAGTTTAGTTTAGTGGCAAATAATGATTCAGTAAATTAAATTTGCACTCTTACCTCTCAAGACAAAGGAAATAAATTATTATATTTTTATACTATATAAACTATAACTTGTGTGTGTGCATGTGTAGGTCCTGGGTCTTAAACTCAGGGCCCAGGCAATGTCCCTGAACCTCTTTGTGCTCAAAGTGAAAACTCTACCACTTGAGTCACACTGCCACTCTGGTTTTTTGGTGCTTAATTGGAGAGAAGAGTCTCATGGACTTTCCTGCCAGGTTTGCTTCAAAACGTAATCCTCAGATCTGAGTTTCCTGAATGGCTAAGATTAAAGGTGTGAACCACTGGTGCCTGCTAAAGGGACATCTTCTAACATTACATTTTTTTTTTTTTTGCCAGTCCTGGGATTTGATCTCTGGGCCTGGGCACTGTCCCTGAGCTTCTTTTGCTCATGGCCAGAGCTCTACCACTTGAGCCACAGTGCCATTTCTGGCTTTTTTGAGTAGTTTATTGGAGATTGCAATCCTCAGATCTCAGTCTCCTGAGTAGCTAGGATTACAGGCATGAGCCACTGTGCCCAGCTTAACAGGACAATTTTAGAAGTTAAACAACTTCTCAAAATATACACAACGAACGTGGTGAAATATTTGATTATGTCTGATGACATTTACCTTAACTTTATTTGTTAAAAACATGATGATGATGATGATGGAGTTGTACAAAAGGGTTACAATTCCATAAGTCAGGTAATGAGTACAATGATTCTTGGAAAATGTCATCCCTTCCTTCACTTTGCCCTATTTTCTCCCTTCTGTTCCTGCCTACAAGTTGCACAGTTCATTTTTGCATAGTGTATATTGAATACAGTGACTGCCTTTATTCACCTTTCCTCCCTCCACTCCTTCTTCTCCTCCCCTAAAAACAATGAAAAAAATCCCAAACAAACAACAGCAATAAACCATGTTTAGATTTCCTGGAATTTGTTTTGCTAAATAGTATTTTAGATGTTCAGAGGAGTTATGCCTTTGGGTTCCTCTTTAAGTGTATTTTCCTTTTGTCAGCTTGTGTGTGTGTAAATGTGTACAGCCCTTTGTAATTTAGTATGTCCAGTTGTATTCTAGATCTAGCTTCCACATATGAGAGAAAACATTCCATTTGTGTCTTGAAGCTTGGCTTACCTCATTTAACATGGTTTGTTCTAGGTCATCCATTTCCCTACAAATGACATTAATATTATTCTTTCTAATGAATGAGTAGAATTACATTGCGTATATGTACCACATTTTCTTGATCCACTCACTTCTTATAGGGCATCTGGGCTGTTTCCATGACTTGGTTATTGTGAATAGTGCAACAATGGATTCCTATGAATTAAGCCAGGCACTGGTGGCTCACACTTGTAATCTTAACTACTGAGGAGGTGAGATCTGAAGTTTGAAGTTCAAAGCCAGTCCAAGTAGGAAAATCTGTGAGACTCTGATTTCCAATTAACTACTCCCTCCCCACCCCCAAAGCCCAAAGTGGAGCTGTGGCTGAAATAGTAGAGCACTAGCCTTGAACCCAAAGAGCTCAGAGACAGCTCCCAGGCCCTGAGTTCATGCCCCAGGACTAGCACAAACAAAAACCAAACAAAACAGAAATGTTAGGTAGTTTATGGAGCACTAACTTACTTAGTATAATGTAATAAAAATATAGTTAATTGAGGGGGGAGGGAGGAGTTGGGAAGGTGGGGAGGGAAGGGATGGAAGGGAAAAACAAAGGAGGTAACAATGCTCGATAGGAAACGTACTCATTAAGTTACTCATGCAACTGTAACCCCTCTGTACAGTATTGTTACAATAAAAATATATACAAAAATATGGTTAATTCTGGGCTGGAAAGGTGGCTTAGTGGTAGAGTGCTTGCCTTGCATGCATGAGGCCCTGGGGTTGATCCCTCAGTACCACATAAGCAGAAAAAGCTGGAAGTGGTGCTGTGGCTCAAGTGGTAGAGCACTAGCCTTGAGCTGAAGAGCTGAGGGACAGTGCCCAGGCCCAGAGTTCAGGCCCCACAACCAACCTATATATATATATATATATATATATATATATATATATATATATACACATATATATATATGCATACATACATACATATATATAGTTTAAGCCATATTTATATTACTATAACACCTGAAATTGGATAATTAATAAGGAACAGATATTTTTCCTCACAATTATAAAAGCTGGAAATTCAAGAGCAAGGTGCCATCATCTGTTGTTTGATGAGGGACTTCTTGCTGAGTTCTCCCATGGCAGAAGGTAGAAGGGCAAGAAAGGACTGGCTTCTTCTGTCAACCTTTTTCTATTCAGGAAGCCTTGATCCATTCAGGAGGGCAGGGCCCTAGCCACACTCAGTCTCCACCACACGATTTGGGGATGTACCCACACCACAGCAGTAATCTACAGTTTTTGAAGACTTTAAACCAAAAGACTTATGATTTTCCAGACACAAGATATTTGCAAATCCTTATGATCTAGTCCATCTGAAATTTTTTGTAACTCAGCAACAATCTCAAGAAGAATGGTTAGGTAAGCTAATTTTCTATTTGAAACCATTCCAGGTTTGTTTAACAAGGACCAAGATTCTGTTCAAAGACTTCACTTGTTTTCCAGGTTAAGCTATGCTGACCATTTTGCTTTGGCTCATCCAGTTGGCGATCCCACTTGGCCTCCCCATGATGATAGTGAAGATGGTGTTCCTTGCCTATTTATGGGAGACTTTGGCTGGATACCCAATTATCTTCTCTATCTTAACAGATCTCTTCAAATTAATGCTAACTCAATGGGGGCATGGATGCAGTAACAACTATACAATAACATGTTTGAAGTATGGCACTTGCATAGCAAGTGTGAGGCCCTAAAGTCAATCCCCAGTATTGCACACACACACACACACAGACACACAGACACACAAGTTGATGCTAAGTGAACTCAGTTCTCTTTTTTTTTTTTGTCAGTTGTGGGGCTTGAACTCAAGCCCTGGGCGCTGTCCCTGAGCCCTTCAGAGCTCAAGGCTAGTGCTCTACCACTTTGAGCCACAGCACCACTTCTGGTTTTCTGGTTAATTGGAGATAACAGTCTCACAGACTTTCCTGCCTGGTCTGACACTGAACCATGACCATCAGATCTCAACCTCCCGAGTAGCTAAGATTACAGGAGTGAGCTACTAGTGCCCAGCTATGAACTCAATTCTTCATCACAACATTTTATTTGAAACCTAGAACTCATATGTTTTTCTTATTACTCTAGGCCCATTCTTATTTCTAGTAACAAAATCACTTGATATCAGAAGGAGAGGGGAAATTTTAATAGCCCATTTCTCAATTTCTCATTGATTTCCTCTCTCTGTCTTTGCTATCTGCCTGTTTATCTCTCTTTCTCCTTTGCAGTACTGATGATTGAACCCAGGACCTAACACCTGCAAACCATGCACACTTGCACTACACTACTGGCCATGATTTCCTTGCTTTGTGGTTCATACTCTCCCTTGTTCTTTCTTTCCAGCTTGTTCTCTCTGAGGGTCGGGGACTATAGTCTACTGCTGTATTCAATCTCACTGCATGTGGTTTCTGGGTGACTTTTTTTTTTTTTTTTTTTTCAGAAATCAATGGGAGGAACCTGAGGCTTGCATTTCTGTGTGGAACAGACAAAGCCTGAGGCTGGCACCTTTTTTTTTTTTTTTTTTGTTCAAGACCAGGACTCAAACTCAGTACTTGATGCTTTCCTTCATTGACTAGCACTCTACCAACTGAGCCAGGCCTTCAACGCCATGACTTCTTGATATTTAAGAAGTTTATGCTGAGTACATAAAGTGTCAGCATTTTTTTTTTTTCCTTGGGTCCGTTTGTGGGGCCTGAACTCTGGGCCTGGGCGCTGTCCCTCAGCTCTTCAGCTCAAGGCTAGCGCTCTACCACTTGACCCACAACGCCACTTCTGGCTTTTTTCTTTTTTCTTATGTGGGCCTCATGCATGCAAGGCAAGCGCTCTACCACTGAGCCACCTTCCCAGCCCCTTAGTCAGCATTTTTATAATTTATTATAACTCACCCTTGAGCCAAAACTAGATCAAGATATCACAAAAAGCCAGGCACTGGTGGTTCATGACTATAATCCTAGCTACTTAGGAATCTGAGATTTGAGGATCATGGTTCAAAGCCAATCTGGTCTGGAAAGTCAGTGAGACTCTTGTGTCCAGTGAATAACCAGCAAGCCAGAAGTGGAGCTGCTAGCCTTGAGTATAAAAGCTCAAGTCCTAAGTTCAAGCTTCAGGCCTGGGACACACAACGAGTAAACTTTAGACCTATATTTAGGGCCTGAGCCATAGCACCACTTCTGGCCTTTTCTGTTTATGTGGTACTGAGGAATTCAACACAGGGCTTCATGCATAGTAGGCAAGCACTCTACAACTTAGCCACATTTCCACCCTACAGGCCTATATACTTTATGAATATATGGAAAAATTCTCAATGGAATACCAAGAAACTGAATCCAGCACACAAAAAGGACCACACACTATGCTCAAGTGGGATTAATCACCAAATACAATGTTGGTTCAACACACAAAGATCAGTATACTTACTCCTTTTCTCCTTTTTTTTTTTTGTGTGCTAGAACTGAGGCTTGAACTCAGAGCTTGGGTGCTGTCTCTTAGATTTTTTTCTCAAGGCTTGTTCTCTACTACTTCAACAATACTTCATTGGAAATGAGTCTCACAGACTTTCCTTTCCAGACCTCAAGCTATGATCTTCCCATCTCAGCCTCCCGAGAAGCTAGGATTCCAGGCATGATCTCCTTACTCCTTAATAACAGAATAAAAAAACACCTGCCATTAAAAAAAGAATGATATATCCTGGCCCATGGATTGAGTCTTGAAAACAATAAGCTAAATGAAATAAACTAGACTCACCTCTAGGCCTCATATTGGATGATTCTATTCATATAAATACACAGAATAGGCAATCTTTTTTTTTGGGGGGGGGGCCGGTCATGGGGCCTGAACTCTGAGCCTGGATGCTGTCCCTCAGCTCTTCAGCTCAAGGCTAGTGCTCTACCACTTGAGCCACAGCACCACTTCCGGCTTTTTGCTTATGTGGTGCTGAGGAATAGAACCCAGGGCCTCAGGCATGCAAGGCAAGTGCTCTACCACTGAGCCACCTTCCCAGCCCCAGAATAGGCAATCTTTTATTTATTTATTTAATTTTTTGTCGGTCGTGGGGCCTGGGCCTGGGCGCTGTCCCTCAGCTCAAGGCGAGCGCTCTACCACTTGAACTACAGTACCACTTACAGTTTTCTAGTGGTTTATTGGAGATAGGAGTCTCACGGTCTTTCCTGCCCGGGCTGGCTTTGAACCGCGATCCTCAGATCTCAGCCTCCTGAGTAGCTAGGATTACAGGCGTAAGCCACCAGCGCCCGGCATAGGCAATCTTTTAAAGACAGGAACATAGTAGTGGTTCTTGAGGCTGGAGGAAAGGTGGGTGGGGGACTACTGCTAATGAGGATGGAGGTTATTTTTGGCTTTTTGGTTTTGTTTTTTCCAGTACTAGTGTTGGAACTTTTGAACTCAGGGCCTCATGCTTGCTGCAACTGCTTGAGCTAGCTTTACATTATGCATCTTAGCTTATTGACTAGCTAGGATTTCAGGGGTGAGCCACAAGTACCTGGCCTTTTTTTTTTTATGGAAATAATACTGTAAATACACAGTCTTGGAGTTATATTAAAATGGCTGAACTATACACTTTAAGCGATGAGTTCTATGGTCATGAATTTGCATCCCAATAGAAAGAGAATATGAAAAAAACCTGTCCTATATATAGCACTTAGCAGAACATTTAGGGCAAGCAGATGCCTGGTAAATGAATTGATGGATGACAAGCATTGCTGGAAGTGAAGATACTATTTGTTGGACAGGAGAGAATGAACTCCAACTAGCTTAGAGAAGTGAACTCCAACTAACTCTTACTGCAACTAGTTTATGCGGGTAATCTTTAGGAGATTAAGTCTCAATTGTTGTTTTGGTAAATTCAAATTTACTATTACTATTATTTCTGTGCTGGTACTAACTCTTGGACTCGGGGCTTGGGTGCTATCTCTTTGCTTTTCCCCTTGAGGCTAGTGCTCTACCACTTGAGCCACAGCTCCTCTTGTGGATTTTTTATGGCTAACTGGAAATGAGGGTCTCATGAACTTCCTTCTTGGGTTCACTTTGAACTACAATCCTTAGATCTCAGCCTCCTGAGTAGCTAGGATTATAGGCTTGTTCTACTTGCACTTAGCTAAGAATGAGTTCTT